AAAAGAAATACAGGCTGCAATCCAAGAAACAAGCACCAACATCTGGATGGTTTTTAATGATTCTAATTCTTATGTCACGTATCCAGGGTGTAATAATTCAGTTATCGTTAGGAGTTACTGCTACTGAAAAAATGTCGGGTGTAACTGGGGTTATATTTTGACCAGTTTTGTCATGAAGCAGGTGTTAAATTTAATATTTAATTCTCTGTGGTGTTAAAAAAAAAAACAGTGATGCTGCAGGACTCCCTGATTTTTACAGATAATTTAAATTTGTTTAATTTAGAACTGCAGTAAACAAGCAGTTGATCAAAATAAATTCAATATCTTCAAAACATTATTAAAAAAAAAAAAACGATTACAAATTTAAGATAACATGCATAGGCACAGAAACACAACAACACCTTGGTTTATAGGGTCACTAATGTTGCATGTGACAACTCGTGGTTACACAACTGTGAAGTCGGTCAGCACAGTCAAGTGCAAATTTAAGTTCCAAATTAAAGCAGCTCTAATTGCTAGTTTTATAATGACTGATAAACTGTGTGACAGCAGTCACTGGTTATGATAATCTGCCCAAAAAAATGAACACTAACTTCTCTTTTCTATAGCAATTAATGCCCTCTTTCATATACAGTAACTGGAGGAGACCAAAAATAGAGCAAAGAATTGTATAACTGGACTTTAAAGGCAACCATTACCTTATAGTTTCGTAAGATAAGGAAGTTTTTGGAAACAACTTTGCAATCTTGTACTAAATGCAACACAAAGAAAGATCAGAGACACATATTTCAGTTTGTTGCGTTAAGTTTAAGCAGATTTAAAGTGCAGTAGGTGGAGGAGACCAAAAACAGAGCATAAAACTGTTTGGCTTGAGTTTAAAGTCAGTTTCCTAATAGTTTTGTGTAATATGTGAGTTTTTGAAAATAACTCTGCAATTTCATAGTAATTACAGCACAAAGAGAGGATTTTAGACAAATATTTCAGTTTAAGCAGTTTTTGTATGGAGTAGCTGGAGGAGACCAAAAACAGAGCATGAAGTTGAATGACTGGATTTTAAAAGTGAGCCACTTCCTAATAATTTTATAGAACAGATACGTTTATGGAATCACTCTGAAATCTCGTACGAATTACAGAAGACTATGAGACATATTTCAGTATTTCATATTGATTTTAAGCAGTTTTAAAGTGTAGTAGGTGGAGGAGACCAAAATCAGAGCATAAAACAAAAACAAAACAGCATAAAACTGTACAACTTGAGTTTAAAGTCAAACAGTTTTCTAATAATTTTGTGCAATATTTGAGTTTTTGAAAACAAATGCAATGTCATGGTAACTACAGCACAAACAGAGGATTTGAGACAAATACTTCAGTTTGTAATGTTGAGTTTAAGCAGTTTTCGTGGACAGTAGCTGGAGGAGACCAAAAACAGAGCATAAAGTTGAATGACTGGATTTTAATAGTTTTTGGAAATATCCCTCCAATACCATAGTAATTAGAGAATAAAGACAAGGAGCTGAGACAAAAGATGTAGTTTGTCATCTTAAGTATAAGCAATTTTAAAACTCAGTAGGTGGCGGAGACCAAAAACAGAGCATAAAGCCGAATTACTGGATTTTTAAAGTGATTTCCTCACAATATTATATGATAGGTATGTTTATGGATAATTCTGTGATCGTGTATGAATTACAGAAGAATCTGAGGCAGATATTTTACTTTTTCAGGTTGATTTTAAGCAGTTTTCAGTAAGTGGAGGAGACCAAAAACAGAGAATAAAGCTGTACAACAGGTCTTCAAAAGTGAACAGTTTCTTAAGAATCTTACAAAACAGCTATGTTTTTTAAATAAATCTGAAATCTGACACTAATTACAGCACAAAGGCAAGCATCAGAGGCAGATATTTCATTTTGTAAAGCTAAGTTCAAGCAGTTTTTGTATACAGTAGCTGGAGGAGACCAAAAACAAAGCTTAAAGCTGTACAGCTGGACTGCAAAATTGAACAGTGTCTAATAATTTTGTATAAGTGTTTTTTTGTAAATAATTGCAATCTGATACTAATTACAACACACAAAAACAGATATTAAAGTTTGTCATGTTTACTTTAAGCAGTTTTTATATACAGTATAGAGGAGAGCAGAAACGTACGGTTTCCGATTTTAACAGTGAACAATTTACAAATATTTTTATATATAGGTTGCATTTATGGAAATAATTCTGCAATCTCGTACTAATTATGACAAAAAGACAAGGATGTGAGACATATTTTAGGTTTTCATGTTGAGTTTAAGCAGTTTTAAGGTAAGATTTCTTTGAAAAGGGCTTTTTAATTAGAAATACAAATTAATATGTTTTCATCAAAAATTATTTTTTAAAAAAAACCTTGCAAATTTTACAGACAACTGGTTGGTTGAAGGACTGCAATTAGTCATTATTGTAATTTCTTGTGGATTTGTTTTAACTTTTAACAGATTTGCTTTGATTTAATGTCAAAAACCAAAATATGAAACAATTCTAATTTAAATCTGCACTGACCTATATTTTCAAATGAACCATGGATGAAAGGACTGATGTGACAGGTGTCATTTGTAGTGACAAACCAACAGCAAAATATCAACTGACTCCATAAATCTTTGCAGCATTTTACCGTCTTTTAGCTCTGTTTTGGTTTTATAGTCAGTTATTTTACTGTTCTAGTTCACTTGTTGTCAGCGTTGTAAAAAGCCGCAGTACAGCAGTCAGTTCATTACGAGCTGAGCTGGTGAACACAGTGGAGCATTTAGGAGCTTAAAAGCCAGATATCCACTTATATCAGAATCTGAAAAGGAGCTGGTGGAAACCACAAACAGAGCTAAAAGAGAGACCCAGTTCTGTTGAGAGGAAGTGGACAAACAAAACAAAACACAAATAAAAGCAGCTTTAATTAAACTATAGAGGACCAAGACTAGAACCCTGAGGAACACCACTCCTATATATTAACACATTGAATGTGGAAATAAGCAGCTGTTGGCTGAAAAGTTCAGCGAAAGCTGATGATAAACAATTTCACTACATATTTCTGCTGAAAAAATACTGGTTCGTCCATGTAGACGGAATTCAGCTCAGTGTTTTTGTCTCTTAGATTCTACGAAGTCGAGTTTTCGTACATGTTCTGATTTCTTTTGGGTGTCCTGTGTAGCTGTTCATCTCTAGTAAGATCTCTCCAATGTTTGACACTTTCCTACTGATGGTTTCCACCACTAAAAAGCACTAAAACATCAAGAAACGCAGCAATAAAGTTTGAAAGAAAGAAGACTGACAGATTGTGAACATGGATGTAAACAAGGTGTCCAGGTCCACACAGCAAGTTTTTGTGAGAAACACCAAAACAAACCAGTTGGTTTACAAGAAAACACCACAAAGCATCTTTGCTGTAAAGCAAAATATGTTCAGTGTTAGAATTCAGGGTGTTTTTTCCTAGTTTCCATGCAAACATGACACAAATATCTCACTGAAATGACAGAAAATGTCCCAAAAAGAAGACGAGGACACAACAAGATAAAGGCTTTAAAAGAGCTCAAGTAGAAGCTTGAATGGTGCAAAAGAAAGATGTGATGGAGATCAGAAAATGTTGTGATTTATCACTTTAAATGCCTTATTTTTGTGTATATTGTCAGAAATGTGTGAATTAAATCACGTCTATATGGAGGTGACAGATGAAGTGATGTTGTACTGGATGTATTGACAGTTTAGGATATTATTAATATAATGTGTGAATATGATGCAGTCCAGTACAACACAGTCACTAAAACCATGAGCTCAAAGCTGAAACACAGAATGGAATAAACATCTCCGTGACTGCTGACAAAAAGTGAACACGAGGCACAAGAACCATACATGATCTAAAACACAAACATGTCAAACACACAAACATGACTAAACCTGGGAACAAGCAAATACAGAGAACACGATACATTCTGAAAACGTCACGAAATCCTGAAAATGTCACGAAACACCAACAACGTACCTCAACGCTTTAAATGCACCAACTAGAAACACGACTAAATATTAAAAACACAAATACAGAAAATACTAAAGACATGACTGAATTCTGAAAAATGCCAGTACCTCCTGGAAGCACAAGTGTATCTGAAACCTGAAACATGACCAAATACCAAAAACACAACGAAATATCGCCAACACGAATAAACACAGAGAACAAATAAAAATACAGAAAACATTAAAAATATGACCATAAACTAAGGAAAGGACTAAATACCTAAAACCCCACGAAATACTGAAAACGCAAGTAAATACAGAATCTAATGAAAACACAACAAATTCCCCAAAACCCGACTAGATCCCAAAAGCACAACTCTAGCTCAATCCTAAATACATCAATAAATATTAAAATTACAGAAAACATTACTAAAGCTGGAAAACACGACCAAATCCGGTAAACAACTGATTCACAAAAACATGAACAATTACAGGAAACAAGACAGAATATTACCTGAACAGGCTACATGACTTAATACTGAAAATGTGACTCAA